AATTTTAATTAAGTTGTAACAAATTTGCTTCCTTTCTTGTTACTCAATAAAAAAAAATAATAAAAAAGAATGTATTATATTTAATTTACAAAATTTTATTTCTCTGATAATTTGAATAAGAAAGTTTTCAACAATATTTTTCAAAAGTATAATTTATATTCAAGTCAATTAGCAATCATATTCATTCACTCATACAAAACACTCTATTCAAATAACATAAACAATATTGATGAGCTCATCACGTGAACAAATTGTAAATAATAGAAAAACATTAAAATTAGCGATTCTCAAAAATTATAACTCTTCCAATATTCCATTAAGATATTGTGATTTTATTTTGTTTTTATCTAAAATTAATAAAACAAAATGCAATCGATCAAAAAATAAAAAAATTAAATTGTCTCATATCCTCTCACAATTATATATTTTTCTTTTTGTTAGTTGACGTAATAACCTTCAATTATCCATATCTGTATATATGTATATTGATGTGGATTCTAAGCACCAAATTCATATATATATATCATAAAAAAAAATTATTTCCGCATATCGCCAAAAAATCACTTCAACTTATTATGATACTCACAATAAAATTATGCAAAAATATGCTTTACATACACATATAACCTTGGAGGGGATTAGGCACGAAGAATTTCCATTTATCGGTTTTGTTCTCGCTGCCCTGGGGACTGGTTATAATGATGTTTTTCCTTACACAGAAGTTGTGACATCAATAATTGAAGCGATATTTCCTGGAGACGAATATGTTCCAAAACAGCAGATACAATGATTTAGAGTAAAATTAACGACCCGCTGTATGAACAGATATTTCGAAAAAAATTTACAATACAATTCAATTAATACATATATAAACACAAATTAATATAATGCATTTTGTTACCTTATAATTCACGGGTCGACACTTATCATACGATACACAAAACTTTGTTTTATAAAAACTTTCTTTCAAAAATTAATTTAGTCACCGAATTACATTCATTACGGGACACGTCTTGATATTTATACAGTCATTAAGAGAATGCTAGTCGTACAACGTCGAATTTATTAATCATCGAAATATTCCCCACTCACCATCCATACTTCTAATACAGAATATTTTGTATTGGTCATGACTCATAGCCTTACATACCCCCCTTGACGAATTATTGGAAATGCAATTCCATGAATTAAGTCACATAAATTTATATATATCACAATACATACATCAAATTTTAATTTGATACAATTGTTTCGTCATAATGCACATCATTATGTTGTCGCCTGAGTTTCAATATTTTGTTTTTCGTGCAAGCATGGTCTCAAATTTGAGTGGTGATGCACTCCCTTGCTTTTATTATTATTATCAATTTCTCGCAACTCATATGCTCCATTTCCCAAAACCTTTTTTATCACAAATGGACCCTCATATACATCAAAAAATTTATGTGTTACTGAATCACTTGCCTTCGAAATACGCGGAACCTTTAAATAAACCCAGTTGTCTTCTGCAAAAGATATTTTGGTCGTACCACCTTGAATCTTTTTTCTCGCGAGAAAAGCCCTTTCCATTCGTTCAGAGGCAAGCAAGCAAATTTCATCCCTTGAGAGAGTTTGCCCTTCTGGGAATTTTATAATCTTTTGGATGTCATCCTTTACCGGTATACCAAAATGCAATTCCTGCGGCGCAAACCCCGTGGTCGAATGCGTACACAAATTCAAAATATTTTCGATTGTCGAGACATGCGTGGCCCACGATGTGTGTTTCTCGGAACACAATGCTCGAAACATCCGACCAAGCTCACGCATTACGCGCTCGACCGGATTTCCTTGGGGGTGGCGTATCGAAGAAAAAATAGCACGTATTCCCAAATCCTCTAATGATTTTTTCCAGCGCTTCGATGTGAATTGGGTACCGTGGTCACTTAATATTCGTCGCGGTTTTCCCACCTTAGAAACGTATTGTTCGCATATTTTTTTAGTTACTATATAAGATGTAGCCTTTTTTATAGGATATAGACGAACCAATTTAGAAAATACATCTAACACAACAAACAAATACTGAACTCCCCCCCGAGACATTGGCAAAGGACCATATAAATCCACCGAGACTAAATCTCCTGGTTCTTCCGATTTCACCATGCGATATTCCGTATTCATTGAGTGAGCATAAGTTTTTGTCCTTTGACAAACATCACATGCTAACACCCAACTCTTTATATCTTGTCGAATGTGATCCCAATGATAAAATTGACTAACATATGCAAATGTTCTAAAAACGCCTGGATGACATAAATGATTATGCGCTTTATCAAAAATAGACCGACCCCATTCTCTAGGAATTACTACCTGAAAGTTATTCTGATTCTCATTTTTTCGAAATAAAATATTTCTATAAATTGTATATTGCGGCAATTTTTTCCCTGAATTTAGCTTTTGTATAATTTTATTTATAACTTCGTCATTTTTTTGCACTGTATCTAATTCATGAATGGATGCTTTTATATCGAATTCTACTTCTAATTTATTTACCGAAATTTTTGTTTCTTTAGTATTGTTTTGTGGTTGTTTCGACACAATTTTATTTAAGGAAGGAATCAAAATATCTGCGTCACGAGTTTCCAATTCTTCAAACTCACCATTGGGATTGCGGCTAAAAAAATCGGCAGGTATATTCATTTTCCCCGGCACGTATGTTATATCAAATTGATACTGTTGTATTATTAAACCCCATCGAATTAACCGAGCATTCTTAAATTCAGCCGAGTTAATAAAGGTCAATGCTTTATGGTCAGTAATGACTTCAAAACGCGATCCTATCAAAAATGAACGAAGCTTTATCATGCATTCAACAACAGCCAGCATCTCTAGTTCAGAAACAGAGTAATTATATTCGGCCTTCTGTAATCCGCGACTAACTATTGCCACTACATGATGGAACCCTTTTTCGTCCGTTTGAAAAAGTATCCCCGAGATACCTCTATGAGACGCGTCCGTTTGAAGTCGAAACTTTCTATTGGGATGAAAATGTTCTAACCGAATACAACTAGTAAAATTTATTTTCAATTCACTAAAAGCCTCCTTATGCTCTTTTGTCCATATCCAAGGAGCCTTTTCTTTTAATAAATTTCGAAACGGTTCTACAAAAGTCGCGTATTTAATTATAAACTGCCTGTAGTATGTACATACCCCTAAAAAACTCTGTAATTGTTTTCGATTTTTTGGTTCTTTAAAATTCAAAATCACATTCAATTTATCTTCTGCCGGCACAATTCCTTCACCCGAAACATTAAATCCAAGAAATTTTACACTCCTTTCAAAAAATTGCGATTTATCTAACCTTAAAGTAAAATTATCATCTTGTAATTTTGTAAAATTTTCGTCTAATAATTTTAAATGAGAATCAAAATCCCTTGATCCGTATAAACAATCATCAATATATCGCGCTATACCATCTGCACTACAGGTTCCTAATGTCATTGATAGCGATCGTAAAAAACCACTTCCCGCCGTTTTCAAACCAAAGGGAATCCTAGTAAATTGGTACATTTGACCATTATAGAGAAAAGCAGTATATTGCCTGCTCTCTTTTGACAGTGGTATTTGCCAATACCCATTGGCCAGATCGGTGATAGTAAAAAATTTAGAACCATAGAACTGTTGTATGATCTCAGAAATTAAGGGAGGGGATTCATGATCATCCTCGATGACTTGATTGATAAAACGTGCGTCCAGACACACACGCACCTCACCATCCTTTTTTACGACAATTCTAAGTGGACTACAAAATTTCGCTGTTGATCTCTCTATAATTTTCTTTTCTAACATTTCGAACATTTTTTTATCCACCCCAGGACGCAACGCAAAAGGAACCGGATAAGATTTCTTAACTATTGCGTTTTCATCTTTCAATTTAATTACGTGTTCATATTTCCCCCCCGGCTCTTCTTTCTCCGAAAATAGTTTCCGAAATTTACATAGCGTTGCAAACAATTTTTCTTTTTGTAATTGATCTATAGTCGAAATATTATTTACAATATCCTTGACATCATTTATAAATCGTTCTTCTTCATTTTCGGCATATACGTGCGCTATTTCAAAAATTTGATCATTTTCCTCGAATGTACACAATTCCCTATCAGAGTCCTCATCATTGTCTTCAAACTCTAAAGAAATATTATGATTACTATTATTATCCCCAATAAAATCATTCTCCGTTAGGATGCTAATTTTATCTAAATTTATTTTGTCAACAAGCATTGGCGAACAATTTTTTGAATTATTATTTTCTTTATCATTAGTTGTTTTATTAACATTATAATTTTGTTCGATATTTTCATTTTTATTGCAATCTATAAAATCATTCTTTTCATTTTGTTTACATTTATTTTGATCACGATTTATGATATCCTTGTCTCGAATTGATTCATTACTAAAATTGACTACTTGGATAAATAAAATATCATCTTTATAAGATGAATTAATCCGATCTGACATATTTCCTCCGTATCGTATTAAATTATTAGGCACTAAATAACCGTTAATTTTCATTAAATTGTTCTCAAAATCTAGTATGACGTGATTTTTTATTAACCAATCATTTCCTAAAATAATATTCGAACTGAGCCTTGGTATAATCAAAAATGGAAAAACAAAACGATTTTCTCCAATCTCAAGATCGAGAAATGCCTGATGCTTTACAGGAGTTTGCTTTCGCCCTATGGCCGGAACAATCATAATATTATTCACCGGCAATAACGGTATTTTCCCATTTTCACATAAATGATTATAAAAAACTTCAGAAATGCACGTCACTTGGCTCCCACTGTCAACTAACATCGGAATCGGAATATTAAATATTTTTGCAATAACATGAGGACTTTTATGAAAAAACATCTGCTTTTCCCTATCATTATTTCCTTCATTATTCTCAAATTCCTTTTGTAGGTCCTCGATCAAATCACAATTTGATGAGTGCTTCGTCGGACCGCACGAAACACTATTTACTTGTTTAAATGATATTGTACATTTTGTGGTAACGGAGGAGGAGGACGTGATAAATCAGGTAAAAAATTATATTTAAAATTTGATACCGGAGAGGCACTATTCGCTCGGGCATTCGCAGATCCTTTACTTATTTTATTCACCGATTGATTTTCCACCGATACCTGCCTAACGTGTGCATTTTGTTGACCGTGAGGAGGAGGATTTCTATATTGATGGTTTGGTCTATCCGCATAAATCAGATCCAATTGGGACAAAGCGTGATGCATAGATTGAAAAGAATGATAGTCAACAGAAATTAACGCCGTGCGCACACGATCTGGGAATTGTTGGGCAATTGTGTAATGAATTTCATATTCTGATAACCGCGGTATTATAAATCGAGCATCTTTTGTTTGTTTTTCAAGATATTCGACTAATAACCCTTCTTGAGATGTATATTTTCGCGATGACCACTGAGTTTTCAAACGCACTTGAATTGGTATGGAAAAAAATTCCTGCAAAAACATTTCTTTAAAATCGTCAAACGATTCCACTGAGATAGCTTCAAACCATCCACGCGCACGTCCCTCAAGGGATTCCCCAAGAACAATTAAACGCGTGAATCCAAAAACACCTTTTACCCGAAAATAATTTTCAATCTTTTGCAAAAATTCAACTGGATTTTGTTTCTTTTCATTCTCAAAGCGCGGCATTCTAATATCTATTCGAGTAAAATGCGATTCGTATGAATGAACACGACTCATTTGAAAATTACTATTTATCGAATTATCTATTACTTTTTTATTTCCATTATTATGATTTATTGGTTGATCAATTATTAAATTTTTGTCAATAATTCCAGAAGTTGAAGAAGATTCTTCTTTGTCAGACATAATGGATTTATCATTTTGAGAATTTACGTTATTAGACCGCAAAGTTTCATTTTCAATACGCATTTGTTTATTTTCAACCAATAAACCTTCACGTTCTTTTTTCATTTCATACATTAATTTTCTCATTTCTGATAATTCTAATTCTAATCTTCTAAACTTTTCATTACCTACTTCCGTGTCTGTCATCTTATCTGTATTATTTAATTTTTCTACTAAATTTTTTTGAACTGATTTAGATCGCGTGGTAATACCCTCACCACTCAAATTTATTAACTCTTTTTCTTTATTTTTTGGTGAACGTTCTAAACCCATATCACTCAATATTTCATTATTCCATCATCAGAGATTTTTTTTTTTTTTTTTTTTTTTTAAACTATTGATGATTATATGTAAAAATTTATGACAACAAAGAAAAAGAAATGATAATACTAAAATTAATTTGAGATTGGCAAATCCCGGTTGAGCCCCCAAAATGTAACAAATTTGCTTCCTTTCTTGTTACTCAATAAAAAAAAATAATAAAAAAGAATGTATTATATTTAATTTACAAAATTTTATTTCTCTGATAATTTGAATAAGAAAGTTTTCAACAATATTTTTCAAAAGTATAATTTATATTCAAGTCAATTAGCAATCATATTCATTCACTCATACAAAACACTCTATTCAAATAACATAAACAATATTGATGAGCTCATCACGTGAACAAATTGTAAATAATAGAAAAACATTAAAATTAGCGATTCTCAAAAATTATAACTCTTCCAATATTCCATTAAGATATTGTGATTTTATTTTGTTTTTATCTAAAATTAATAAAACAAAATGCAATCGATCAAAAAATAAAAAAATTAAATTGTCTCATATCCTCTCACAATTATATATTTTTCTTTTTGTTAGTTGACGTAATAACCTTCAATTATCCATATCTGTATATATGTATATTGATGTGGATTCTAAGCACCAAATTCATATATATATATCATAAAAAAAAATTATTTCCGCATATCGCCAAAAAATCACTTCAACTTATTATGATACTCACAATAAAATTATGCAAAAATATGCTTTACATACACATATAACCTTGGAGGGGATTAGGCACGAAGAATTTCCATTTATCGGTTTTGTTCTCGCTGCCCTGGGGACTGGTTATAATGATGTTTTTCCTTACACAGAAGTTGTGACATCAATAATTGAAGCGATATTTCCTGGAGACGAATATGTTCCAAAACAGCAGATACAATGATTTAGAGTAAAATTAACGACCCGCTGTATGAACAGATATTTCGAAAAAAATTTACAATACAATTCAATTAATACATATATAAACACAAATTAATATAATGCATTTTGTTACCTTATAATTCACGGGTCGACACTTATCATACGATACACAAAACTTTGTTTTATAAAAACTTTCTTTCAAAAATTAATTTAGTCACCGAATTACATTCATTACGGGACACGTCTTGATATTTATACAGTCATTAAGAGAATGCTAGTCGTACAACGTCGAATTTATTAATCATCGAAATATTCCCCACTCACCATCCATACTTCTAATACAGAATATTTTGTATTGGTCATGACTCATAGCCTTACAAAGTTCTTTATAATTGAATTATTATCAAGAATTTTATCAAAATTTCTTAAAATAATTGAATTCTTTTGAAGAATTTTAAGAATAATTGCATTTTTCGGTGAAATAATATAATAATAATAATTAAATTATTGCAAGAATTTTATTAAACTCTTTAAAAATAATTGAATTCTTGCGAAAGATTTTATTAAATTTTTTTTTAAATAATTGAATTCCTGTGAAATTTTATTATTTTTGAAAATAACTGAATATTTGTAAAGAATTTTTTAAAAAATATGAATTGAATTCTTTAGGGAAATTTTTTATTAAAGTAGTAAGGTTTGAAAATAATTGAATTAACATTTAATTATTTTTTTAAATAAACAACTTTTCAGAGGAATTTAATTATTTAGAAATTAGAACACAGTTTTCCTAATATTTTTCGAGAAAAATCAATTATTTAAATAGATTTTAATAAAATTTTTTGAAATAATTCAATTATTTTCATGAACAATGTACAATTTTCAAAGAAATTCAATTATTTAAAATAATCTAATTATTCTTAGAAATTCAATTACTTTTATAAATAATAAATTCTTTTTAGCTCTCTAAATTTTAATTATTAAAAATGTTTACTAATTTGAATTAGTGACTGACTTTTTGCTTTTGAATTAGTAAATTTTACTAATAAATAGTAATTTCTACTAATTTTTTAGTAAAATTTACTAATTCAAAAGCAAAAAGTCAGCCACTAATTCAAATTAGTAAACATTTTTACTAATTCAAATTTAGAGAGAGGAATTCAATTATTTAAAAAAATTTTAATAATATTTTTTGAAAGACTTTAATTATTTTTAAAAATTTTAATGACATTCTGTATAATAATTGAATTGTTTTAAATATAATTTTAATAAAATTTTTGGAAAGAATTCAATTATTAATTTTCATAAATAATATACAATTTTCAAAAAAATTCAAGTATTTAAAAGACAATTTTCATAACATTTTTTTAAAAAGATTTTTTTTAAATTCTTCTCAAGAATGCAGTTATTTTAAAAACTTTATTAAAGTTCGGTGACAAAAATTCAATTATTTTCATAAATAATAAAACTCATCGCAGGATTTCAATTATTCTTTGAAAAAATTCAATTATTTAAAAAAAATTGATATAATTTGTTTCTTAAAGTGTAATAATTACTTTCAATATTACATTTCTAGAATAAATTTATTTATTATCAAAAATTTAAATGCACATCTTCGTAAAATTATTTCTGTCTTTAAGATACTTTTGCTACTTTTTTAAAATTAATCATCAAGTACGAAGCCTGTGATTATTTTATTTATGATAAAAATGATCCCAAATTAAAATTGTTGTAAGTTTAACGTTAGTTAATTAGATCTTCAAATAGAGTTGGGGTAAAGTGGAACACCACGGGGCAAATGTGAGTTTTTTATTTTTTCAACCTTTTTAAGAAATTTTTTTTTAATTTTTCGATTTTTTGAGTTGTAAATTTATTGAATGTCAATGTTTTTCTCGTGGTGGCAACCAACGAAATGCAAGTAGACAATGTTGCGAGTTGCTGAAAACCGGTATTGTTACGCCGCGCCGGTAGGTTATATGTATATCCCTCGTGAGGAATTCCTTCGCATATTCTTTCTCTCTTATAGTGCTACCAAAGCAGCACCATTAAGTATTCTATATGACGGAAAATAGGATCTTTAAATCGCTTTTTTTTTCTCTCCAGGAGAATTAAACATTCTTTCCTCGAGCACACAATTAGCAGGATGATCCAATTTCACACGCTCTTTAATTCTCGACCAAAAGAAAAAAAAAACTATCATCTCAAGTCTCAACCTTTTTCATTTTTCTGAGAATATATTTTCCTTCAGTTAACTTTTAACATGCATTGACAAAAAAAAAAAATTAATTAATATTAAACATGTAGAAAGTTGTTCCTACGTTGTACGACAAATCTATATGTTCACCTTAAGATATTTACATTGATTATTATTCGAGTTATTCTAATTTAGTGCTCAGGTATTTAGGCTGAATTTATTTAGAGTTTAGACTGATTAAATAGTTACGTTTTGATAATTATTAGTATAGTGATTTGATGTATATAAATCAATTAAATTATTTTTCATGTTCTTGATTTTTATACTTGAACGAATATAATCACTGTAAAAACAAAGTCTTAAAGTATTTACAGCCTTTTTTTCTTAAATTCAACTAACTTTTAGGCTTAAAATAAAAATCAGGCAATTTTAAATCTTAAAATAAGTTTCTTAATAGGAAAAATTAATTCATTATTTGTTGTAAATTTACAACAATAATAGTGAATGAATTTTTACTATTAAACACAGTTTTCTTGAAGCATTATATTGATACTGAAGTGGATCAAATTGATGCAGAAAATTTGGATCCATTTTTTATTTGATCCACATTTTTTATATCAATTCGTTGCAATTTGATACTTTTCAGTTACCAATTAGTTGTTTTAGTCGAAATCAGGCTTAAAACAAGACTTATTTTACACAGTGAAAGAATAAAATATATCTTATTATCTTCAGTCCACTTTTGACTAAAATCATTTACAAAAAAACACAGTGAACTGAAAAGTATCAAATTGCAACGAATTGATACCAAAAATATAGATCAAATAAAAAATTGATCCAAATTTCTGGCATCAATTTGATACTTTCAAGAAAACTGTGAACGTTTAGAACTATTAAGATGTAGACGCTTTTAGATTTTTTTCTCTAAATAATAAACACGTAAATGCAAATAAAATTATAGATGATGATTCTTAAATTGAACAATAAGTTTATAGAAATGCTTTTTACAAAAGAGAGAAGAGAAATTGAATTAGAAAATTTGCAATTGGAACAGTAATTTGTATACAATCTGATATTTATCTAAAATGTTTGCATTGCTTTTTTCCTTAATGTGCGATAAGGCTAAACTTCCATTTCCTTATGGTTTATTTTCTATACATTTATCTATTGCAAAACAATAGGAGCACAATATATTTCTCATATATGTTAGACACTAGTGGGATTTATCAGCATTAATACATCGATTATAATACAGGAGAAAAGAGAGGGAGGGAGAGAGAGAGATTTCATCTTTATGCGAGAGACAGCAAGAATGCGGAATCAAAACGTTTAGACTTGTGTCACTGATACTGAAAAGAATTACGCTTTAATCAACTTCTATACGCGCGCTCATAATGATATATTATCATACATACAATAGCTGGAAAAAAAAATTATATTCTCACACAAATAATCAAATTACAAATTCAGTTATAAATTATAATGCAGATCTGCCAAATTCGATATTTAGATTTTAATCAAGTTGATGCCATCAATGTTTATCGACGAAAACAATTTTTTAATGAGTATATTAATTTAGTTTATTTATTTTTTAAATAAACTAATAATAATAATAAAACCAATTCTAAAAAAATTATATACTTATTTATTAATTATGTACGAATGTTTGAATTTATTAATTTATAGTTATATATTTTAATAAATAATTATATATTATTCAAAGATAACGCAATAATATTGCTATAAAAATATATCTGACGTGCTCCGAAGAAACGTACCTAATAAGCTAATAAGTTGCAACAAATTTTAGGTTATGATTTTTTATTGCTTTGAAGGAAAAAAATCAATTATTTGAAAAGATTTTTATCAAATTCTTCGCAAGAATTCAATTATTTTTATAAATAATAAAATTCTTCTCAGAAATTCAATTATTTTTATAAATAATAAAATTCTTCTTAGAAATTCAATTATTTTTAAAAATTTTAATACAATTTTAAATAAGTTTTTTGAAAAATACAATTATTTTTAAAAATTTTATTAAAAATTTGGACCAAAGGCCACAATTAACAAACAGTATTTGACAAAAATTAAGGTTCTTGAAAAAAATACCAAAATTAAAACTCTTCGCAAGAATTCAATTATTGTTATGAGTTATAAAATACTTTGTAAAAATACAATTATTTCAATACCTGTATACAACTTGAATAAAATTTAATTATTTTTATCAAGTTTAACAACATTTTTTAATAGAATTCAATTATTTTTTAAAATTTTGATAAATTCATTAGAAAAATTCAATTATTTTCAGTACATTTTTTATTAAATTCATTGCACGGACATAAAATTTTCTTTGAAACAATTGAATTTTTATTTCTACAAATTTTTTTTATTTACTATTTTTATTTATATTTTCATAAATAATAGAATTTTGAATGAAATTAAATTATTTTATCAATTTAATTCAATTTCAATTATATGTAATACTATTGTAAATAAACTATTCGTAGAAAACAAATATTTATGAAAATTTTATAAAAAATCTTCAAAAGAAGAAAAATTTGGAATAAAGTTCTTTATAAGAATATTCAAATAAATAAATTTTAAGAAATATTCAATTGTTAAATACATTATTTATTTTTGTATTTAAACAATTAAATTCTCATACACTGAACAAAAATTTATTTGATTCAAATAACCAAATTCTTGACTATTATCAATTAAATATTTACTTGAATCAAATAATTTTTATTTGAGTCAATTAAATATTATATTCTTCAAATACTGGAATTATTGGTTCAAATAGCATTTCATTGATTGAAATAAAAATTTTTTGATTCAAGTAAATATTTATTTGATAATAGACAAGTAATTGGTTATTTGAATCAAATAAATTTTTTTTCCGTGTAGAATTTTCTAATAAGAATTGATTTAAAATTGACATTCAGTTGAAATTTTAGATAATGATTAAATTCATTCAAGAAATGTAATTGAAAATATATTGACAATAATTATTGCACTCTAAGAAACAAATTATATCGAATTTTTTTAAATAATTGCATTCTTGAGAAGAATTTTCTAAAAAATTTTATGAAAATTATGTTTTAAATAATTAAATTTCTTTAAAAATTTATTAAAATTGAATTCTTTAAAAAAATTTAATTAAAATTAAATTGAAACTAATT